AAATCCCTTGGTGAGCTAATGTACTAACTCTGTTCTCCTTGCTCCCACTGCCTCAGGCATTAATCCTGTTTATAATGTGATGCTGTAATGAATTCTCCTTACCCTGCCCAAGCCCAGCCTGGAGGCCAGTCCCCCCTAGACCTAGAGGACCCTTCCCAGGCCACTGACAACCTCCTCAGGACTCCATCTTAAACCTGACTCCTCTGCTAGCCTGACTTCTCCAAATTTATGGGTTGGCCTCACCACTCTGCCAGGGCCTCCAAGCCTGGGATTGGTTAGACTCCTATAAACATGCGGATTTAGGTCTCCACCTCTTACGCCCACTGGCTTCTGGAAGCTTCCATGGTCTTCCAGAACCAGGTGGAGTTACCCAGCCTGACCTGCAGTAACCTGACCTAATTACAGACTCACACAATTACCATGACTCATACCATAATAGATTTACCTACACTAACACTAGTAGCACACTAGAGGGTGCTATAATAGTAAAAAGGTAAGGACAGAATATGTAGGCCCCCAAAAGATGAACAGGGGCAATTGGTCACAAGTGACAGGGGGAAGGCAGATGTATTAAATATATTCTTCTTTTCAGTTTAGACCAATGAAAAAGAGGCATGTAACAAACAAAACAGAAAAATTAAGAACACTGTATTGAATATACCTCTGTGGCTGAGAGAGACCCATGCTCAAAAAAGACTAAAAAACTTAGAGTATAACTAAAGGCAATTTTTTTTCTATTTTTTTTTTTTGTTTTTACGGCAGTTGAGAGGGAATAGAGCACGTGTCAGGTTTTTATTTCTGTCTGTGGCCTAGGTAGGGAGATTCACCCCCTACCAGGGTCCCCTTGTCATTGTTGCAGTTATCATAGAAAGTGATAGGAAATCCCACATTTTAGGTTGCCCACAGAACAGTAATAGAGGGGAAATCTTGCAATGGGAACCCTAAAATTGTGATCCTGGTGACAACCAAAGATTTCCTTAGTTTGGAGGGATTTCCTCTCAGTTTCTGTTTTGGCTACGGGACAGGAAGTAAAGGGAAATCTCCTCAATGGGACAAAGATAGCAAAAAAATTGACAAGAGTTGTAACCTGCTCTTACTCTACCCAACATGAAAAAAAAGGTTACTTATTAGTTCTATTTTAAAGTAAATAAATCACCAGGACCAGAAGACTTACACACAGAGGCCTAATACAGCTTAGCCATGTTATAGCCAGACTGATGTTTCCAATATTTAAAGGTATCAATTTTGTTTAAATTGTTTATAAAAGATATAGAGTTTTTAATAAATAGTCCAATCTCAGTATTTGATGATGATACCAAGCTATGCAGCGCACTAAGTTCCTCAAAGGATAGAGCAACCTTACAAGAAGACCTTTATTAAATAGAGGGGTAGGCAGCTACGTATATGGCAGATAAGTTTTAATGTTAAAAAATTTAAAATTATGCACATGGGGGCTACAATTATGTACGTAAAATAATCAATATGGGGAGATCTCCTGGGAAAACCATAGATAGAAAAATATCTGGGAGTCCTTGAAGACCACAGAATAGCATGCAAGGCCAGCAGACTACTATCATGCATTAAAAAGGTTATTTACTCAAGAGATAAAACTATAATTCTACCACTGTACAAAATAAAATGACCTCATCTTGAGTATGAAGTTCAGTTTTGGCCACCAATACTTAGGAAAGGTGACCTTCATCTGGAAAGAGTTCAGAGAAGGGCAGCAAAATTAAGAAGGGGGCTAGAAGATCTGAGTTATGAGGAAAAACTACAAAAATTAAGCTTTTCTTCCTGGAGAAGAGAGCATAGCAGAGGATATGATCACAATATGCAAAACTATCGATGGTGACTGTAGCATAGGAACTGTTTGATCTAAGGTCTTTGAAGAAAACAGGCAGCCACACAATGAACTTGGACAAAAAGTGGTCAATTCTTAAACTGTGTAAGCAGTTCTTTACTGTTGAAGCAGTAAAGATGTGTAACTCAATATACATGGATATGGGAATTTACAGCTACATGCACATATACACAAATATGCTAAACTTGGTGGACTTGTATAACTATGGAAATAGATATAACTACAGTTGTGTTCAAAATAATAGCAGTCAGACATCACTAACCTGATCAATCACTGTTTTTGGTAGAAATGATATTTCTAAATGGCAAATAATTTACTAGCAGGTGTAGTAGAGTAATAGAAATCCAACAGACCCAACAGTCATGACATGCATGCTGCTGATTCTGTGTAATTGAATTAATAATTGAAAGGGGCATGTTCAAAATAATAGCAGTGTGGAGTTCTATTAGTGAGGCCATTCATTCTTTGAAAAACAGGTGGCAATTATTGCCCTTATTTTAGGAAGGAAGACAGCAAATGTTGTACATGCTGGTTACAGTGCAGTTCTCTCTGAAATTCTGAGGAAAATGGGTCGTTCCAGACATTGTTCAGAAGAACAGCGTACCTTGATTAAAAAGTTGACTGGAGAGGGGAAAACATATAAAGAAGTGCAGAAAATTATAGGCTGCTCAGCTAAAGTGATCGCAAATGCTTTAAAATGGCAAGCAAAACCTGAAAGACGTGGAAGAAAGCAAAAAACTACCATTCGAATGGATAGAAGAATAGCCAAAATGGCAAGGACTCAGCCAACAATCAGCTCCAGGAAGATCAAAGAAGGTCTAAAGTTACCTGTGAGTACTGTTACAATTAGAAGACGCCTATGTGAAGCCAAGCTATCTGCAAGAAGCCCCCCGCAAAGTTCCACTGTTGAAAAAAAGACATGTGCTGAAGAGGTTACAATTTGCCAAAGAGCACATTGACTGGCCTAAAGAGAAATGGCGCAACATTTTGTGGACTGATGAAAGTAAGATTGTTCTTTTTGGGTCTAGTGGCTAGAGACAGTTTGTCAGACGACCCCCAAACACTGAATTCAAGCCACAGTACACTGTGAAGACAGTAAAGCATGGTTGCGCAAGCATCATGATATGGGGATGTTTCTCATACTACGGTGTTGGGCTTATTTATCGCATACCAGGGATCATGGATCAGTTTGAATACATCAGAATACTTGAAGAGGTCATGCTGCCTTATGCTGAAGAGGAAATGCCCTTGAAATGGGTGTTCCAACAAGACAACGACCCCAAACACACCAGTAAACGTGCAACATCTTGGTTCCAGACCAACAAGATTGACGTTATGGAGTGGCCAGCCCAATCCCCGGATCTTAATCCAATAGAAAACTTGTGGGGGTGACATCAAAAATGCAGCTTCTGAGGCAAAACCAAGAAATAGAGAAGAACTGCGGAATGTAGTCCAATCATCCTGGGGTGGAATACCTGTTCACAGGTGCCAGAAGTTGGTGGACTCCATGCAACACAGATGTACAGCAGTTCTCAGAAACAGTGCTTATACAACTAAATATTAATTAAGTGATTCAAATGAAAGCAAAATCTTCAAGCATTTTTCAGTTTATATAGTGAATGTTTGAGTTTGTAAAGAAGAATACTGCTATTTTTTTGAACAGTCTAATATTCACTTTTCTTCAATTATTTTAGAGGAACAACACAAATTTGATATATTTTTCTTCATGTTTTGATTTGAAATCGAATGTGTAGTGCTCCCAAAGCCTTTGTGTGTATGGAAATAAAAGCTATTAGAAGGATTTTAAACTTTATTTACTTTTTTCAACACACTGCTATTATTTTAAACACAACTGTATATGATACTATTAGGAAGGGTTTTAAAATATAAAGGCCTGTATGAAACACCAAACATGAAGTAAGACAGTTGTGCCCTTTCCTTGGTATTCAAAATGAAATATTGATCAAGCAGCATCACAGGAACCAAAGTTTTTCACTTTCTGTGTCTACATGCATTTTAAGATAGGCTAAACAAGAGTACCAGAAGATGCTCTGCATCTTTTTATTCTATGGTCATAATTAAAACATGGTGGGCGTGTCAAGGAACAGCACTCGCTATCTACCTTATCATAAACCTGTTGAATATTTAGCATAAGGAAAAATCTCTTGGTCATCACCTTTGGTGGAACCAAGGACCATGTTTTTTTTAGAACTTCCATTAAGGAAAGAAAAATATCTAATACGAGTTTGGCCACATTTAAGCAATAGTGGTCATGACAGAAAATATTTTTGCAGCCCTTGAACCTGAAAACTCCTGGGAGTAACATATTATTGCAGAATTTTGATGGTTTTCCATTCAATGCAAATTACAGGGGTATCTATATTGTTGTTTGAACTAAGAATTCTATAAAAACGAGAGCAGCCACATTAAGATGAGGTTGCAACAACATTTAAATCTAAGAGTTGCTCCTGGTTCACTGCTTAAAAATGGATATACAAATGGACAAATGGAAGATTGCTTTTCTTTAACCAACCAGTTGAGTGGGCTACTTTTTAATTCAGCTTGCCCTTACTTCTTTATGTTTGTAATCTCATGATTATAAAATGCACCCGCTCACTCACTGAAAACCAGATACAATAAATGTCCCGTAGACATTAATGGGATTTAGTCCTGCTATGGAAGTTTGTATGTTATTGGTGATACAGACATAGAGGAAGTTACACAGCACAAGCCTCATGAAGTACATTACCAGTGCCCCTGTATGGAGCTATGTGTGACTAATCTGTAGGAAATTACACAGAACTCAGCATTAGGAGAATTTTTTTACTCTAACACAGTTGCAGTGTTTACTGCTCCAAATAGTAGTAGGAGTAGCTCACAAAATGCTTTTATTTGTAGCCTGGAACTGTAAATAGATCAGAGAAGATGAACAATGTTGTATAGGCTTTTGGGATCATAAACTTAACATTTTTTTTTTCTATTTTCGTTTTCAGAAATGGCTTTGAGAACACTTAAAGTGGACTTTATGAAGCATGAGAATGCCAGTAATCATAATACAGCTGATTATGACAATCCACACCTTATTCTGAGAAGAGGACAGACGTTCACTTTAAAGGTTTCCTTTAACAGGGCAGTGATTCCCAGGGACAACATTGTCTTGCAGTTTACTACTAGTAAGAACATAACATTATCTTTCACTAGTGGGTGATCATTTAGAGCCAGCCTTGCCTTTGACAATATGTCAAGGCATGATGATGAAATTATGAACTTAATATACACCCTGTTCCAAACGATTATGCAAATTCTATTTAAGTGTCACAAAGATTAAATATTTTGTTTTTCAGTGTAACTCATGGATGGCATTGTGTGTCAGGGCTCTTTTGATCACTGAAAACAATCTCAGACACCTGTGATAACTAGATTGCCAGGTGAGCCCAATTTAAGGAAAAACTACTAAAGGAGGGTGTTCCACATTATTAAGCAGAGCACCATTTTCAAGCAATATGGGGAAGAAAAAGGATCTCTTTGCTGCCGAAAAGAGTGAAATAGTTCAATGCCTTGGACGAGGTATGAAAACATTAGATATTTCACGAAAACTTAAGCGTGATCATCGCACTATTAAGAGATTTGTGGCTGATTCAGAGCACAGACGGATTTGTGCAGATAAAGGCACATTGAGGAAGATTTCTGCCAGATCCATGCATCGGATCAAGAGAGCAGCTGCTAAAATACCATTACATAGCAGCAAACAGATATTTGAAGCTGCTGGTTCCTCTGGAGTCCACGGACATCAAGGTGTAGAGTCCTCCAGAGTCTTGCAACTGTGCATAAACCTTCTATTCGGCCACCACTAACCAATGCTCACAAGCAGAAACGGCTGCATTGGGCAGAAAAATACATGAAGACTAATTTTCAAACAGTACTGTTCACTGAGTGCCGTGCAACCCTGGATGGTCCAGATGGATGGAGTAGTGGATGGTTGGTGGACGGCCACCCTGTTCCAACAAGGCTGCGATGTCAGCAAGGCAGTGGTGGAGTCATGTATTGGGCCAGAATCATGGGAACAGAGCTGGTCTGCCCCTTTAGGGTCCCCGAAGGTGTAAAGATGACCTCTGCAAAGTATGTGGAGTTTATGACTGACCACTTTCTTCCCTGGTACAGAAGGAAGAACTATGCTTTTTCGTAATAAAATCATCTTCATGCATGACAATTCACCATCTCATGCTGCAAAGAATACCTCTGCATCAATGGCTGCTATGGGGATAAAAGGAGAGAAAGTCATGGTGTGGCCTCCATCCTCCCCTGACCTCAATCCTATTGAGAACCTTTGGAGCATCCTCAAGCAAAGGATCTATGAGGGTGGGAGGCAGTTTACATTCAAACAGCAGCTTTGGGAGGCTATTCTGACATCTTGCAAACAAATTCAAGCAGAAACTGTCCAAAAACTCACAAGTTCAATGGATACAAGACTTGTGAAGCTGCTATCAAATAAGGGGTCCTATGTTACAATGTAACGTGACCTGTTAAAATGTTTAAAAAGTTAAAATGTTGTTAAAAGTTTGATTGAAATAGCTTTTGATTTCAGTAAATATGCTGCAAACACAACAACATGACAATTTTCAGTTCTCTACAACCTATAAAGTGTTTTGAAACTTACTGTGCGTAATAATTTGGAACAGTGCATTGTAAGTGTTTTATGTTTAAAAAAAATCCTGTTATCATTAGGAGGTTTGTTCAATAAAATTAGAATTGTACTCTTAATAGTTGATAACATGAGAATTATGCTGACTGTTATTTACATCAATTATTTAGGTAAATGAGAAAAATATAATTTGCATAATAATTTGGAACAGGGTGTATAAAGGGGAGTTATCAAAACTGGAGCAGACAGAATCTGGAGTAGCTGTGCTTGGCAACCAGTCAACTTCTATATTTTATTTTCAAAGCTTAAGTAAACAAGCTGATTGGTTGCCATGCACAGCTGCTCCAGATTCTGGCTGCTTCCATAGTATTTACTGGCTGTCTTTCTACCTCATTCTTATACTGCTCTACAATGTCGATTTTAAGTCTTATTGACCTGTGAAACCATTCTTCTAATGTTGGCTTGAAGATTTGTAAAAGAAACATGAAGCATGTATAGTTTTGGGGACATTACTTAGGGAGCCAACCACATACACACACACACACACACATACAGTATATATATATATTAAAAAAAATAAATAAATATATATATATATATATATATATATACACACACATATACACACATACATACACACACATACAGTATATTTTCTTTCACATTTTTTCATGAATCATAGCATACTATTATTTTGCATTCTCATTTTAGGTCAAACAGTAGTGCTCTGGGCTACTTTTTACTTGTTTTCCAGGTCATCCTTATCTGCTTTGCTAACAACAAAAAAAGCCTGCTGTTTACAGAGCTTACAGTGGAGCTCCACCCAAAAGGGGAAGTTCCACTTTAAAGACTGGTCCCCCTGCTCCCCATTAAGGATTGGCACCTTTGGGGAGCAGGGTTGAGCGTGTACCTGCTCCCACATCCACTGCGATCACCTAGGCAATTGGAAATGAAAGTTGTCCTCTCTCTCTCTCCTTGTAACTTTCTGCGACACGTGACAGGTCCCAGAAGACAACGGGACCATTCAGAAATTGCAGCACTACTTGTGCATGCTCAGTGGGCACCCGGCTGTGAAGCCGCAAGCTGTCACAGTCGGGTGCCCACACTGAAAATGCCGGTGCCAGGAACAGAGGAAACCAGCTGCGGGTGGGACCGTGGTATCAAGGGACAGGTGAGTGGCTGTTTTTTAAAAAGTCAGCAACTACAGTTTTTGTAGCTGCTGACTTTTTTTTTTACATTTTCACTGGAACTCCGCTTTAATAGCCTTAGTTTTATATTACACCCACAACTGACTGAGTCAGAACAGTCATTCACCCTCTCTTTAATTAACTGCACCTTAATAGCAAGATCTGCTTATTTAGTGCCCCCAAGCCCATTAAAACACTTTATTAGCCTAAATGAAAATGCCTATGGGGAGAAAAGAGTTTGATAGCATAATTTCCTTACCTCGGGTTTGGCCCACAGTGCCTATGTAAGCAAATTGTTCATTCCTGATAAATGTTGGGTATCCCACATCTTAGTATGAAAATGATCCTATATTACTCTGCAACAACTTCTTGGAAGATTTAGAGTACTTAGCATCCTCCAAGATTTCAATGGTAGAATGATGACATCACTTCCTGCATTACAGAAGGCAGGGGAAAGGTGAGTATTTATTTTTTTTTTTACTTTTTTCCCTACAGTTGTTTTTTGAGGCTAATGCAGCATTTTAGCAAGGGGTACACAACAAAATAAGACATTGCCAGTTTAGCCTTTTACTGACTCTTACATTAGTCCAAGATTAATCTTTTTTAGGGATCAGTACAAAACACTTAAAGTGTTACTAAACCCAGGACCCTGCATTCACTATATCTGGTCTCCTAGAGTGCACACTACACTACATGGAAATGCAATTATTTTAGTAAATATGAACTGCTAAATACCTTTTCTCATCAGCAGTTAGAGCAGTCTTGCGACTTCTATCAGTGTCCAGCCGCGCACCAGTTAAAGCTTGTAGGAGGAATTTTCTTTCTGATCTAGGAGGCCTCTGTCTGGACAGTGCTGATTGGCCCTGTGCTGATCACATGCACTCTCCCAAGAAAAAAAAAAACTCTCTAGCAATACACACTAAACTGTACATGTACAGAATGACTCCACATGATGTGTCTTATCAGGAGATACAGTAAGAGGGGGGCACTGGAAGGAGGGAAGGATCAGAGAAGTCAGGATCAAACAGCATTTTTACACAATGCAGAGGATTAACCGCTTAGGTTCCACAGTGAATACAGTAAATCAAGAATGCTTTACTGCATATACAGACTGATTTTACTGTTGTGGGTTTAGTAACACTTTAAGACAAGAATGGTAAGATTGTTGCCCCTAAACTGCTAATGCATATTGTATTCCATGTCTTATTTATAAATAAAAAAATATAAAATGACTAAATTATTGAACATCGATTTTCTTCAAGTACTAATTTTCACCTTTTAGGCCCTCGTCCTTCAAAAGCAAATGGATCACTTGTACATGTTAATATAACTCCTGCTGACCTTAAAAAAGACTGGAGTGCTAAAATCTGCGGGTGCAATGGAAACGAGGTAATTTCAGCAGGTTTAATTTGTTCATTTTTTTGTAATTTCAGATAAACATTAGCACACTTTGTTTTTACATGTGTGATTTAACATTCCATTAATCCAAAATGCTCTGGCAAATCAGAGTAATGTATGTTTTGTTGTCATTTATCAAATGTTATTATCTCAAATTTTCAGATGTTTATTAACTAAATTGGATAGTAAAGCATGATAAACGCTTAAAGCCATTAAAGATAAATGTATACTGAGTTTGCACATTTTTTTCCCCCTAATTTATTGTGATCAGGACTACATTTAAAAAAACATTTTACCTGTGGCACATATGAAATATTTAATTATAATATTATGTAGTGTTCTTTTCAGCCAGCAGGTAGAGCTCTAGTGTCCTTTTCACATGTGAAGCATTGTATCACTCTCAGCTATGATAAGGGAACAGCAGGTTCTGTTGTGGCTAACTTTGTCTGCTGCACCCTCTATTAAGCATCTGTTTCTTAAGTATCCCTCTTCTCTTTTGCTGGTGTCTTCCTTCCATTTTACTGGTAACTTATTATTATTATACAGGATTTATATAGCGCCAACAGTTTGCTCAGCACTTTACAATATAACGGGAGACAATACAGCAACAGTACAGTTCAATACAAGAGGGAAAGGAGGGCCCTGCTCCTTGGAGCTTACAATCTCCTATCCATACTCTACTATCTACTGGAAGAGGGTCCAACTGCTTAGTTACCAGTCTGCTGATTAGATAATGAAGAGCAACAACACACTGATGAAATCATTCTTCTGCCCAACATTACTGTAAGCTTCTTAGGGAAAGACACTGTAAAATGCCAAAGACCCTGACTGTTTTAGAATGCTGCCCGTTCCTCTTCCAGTCTGAGTCCAACTAAACGTGGAATATCAGGAGGCTGATATCAAGACAGTTTGGAATATTTTAGATAGTTCTATATTATGGTTGCTTTAACATCTTTGATGTTGCAAGATGGAACACATTGCTTGTTGTGAGAAAAATAACACATATATTTTCTTTTGAAGTATACATTTGCCGTCAATAGTCCTGCTAATGCAATTATTGGAAAATACCAGCTAAGTGTAATAACGGGAAGAGGAGTTGTATACATGGCAGGAGATTGCCCCATTTACATTCTGTTCAACCCTTGGTGTGAAGGTAATAATTTTACTGGCTGAATGTCAGGTTTCAGTTGACATGTTTAGTGAAGATGTAATCTTAGATTGTGTGTCAGGCTAGTCTGTTTAGAAAGGGGATTATCTTTGGGGATTATTTGATCAGGTGAAGGTTGTGCATTTTCCTGCTTATTGCCCAACTATTTGTTCAAACATTTAATCTTGAAATGTTATTGCCACATGTTTCCATTGAAAACAATAAGTAATAACCAGCAGGCCAGATGACTTAGAACTTGCTATCTCAAATCTCTCACTCATCTGGTGGCTTCTCTCACATATGATCCCATGATTACTTTTCATGCCAACCACTCAAAACAACTTGATTTTGGTGGAGTCTGGTTTGGTTTGGTTTAGCATGGATCAGAGAAAAAAATATCCAAGTATGGCATTGATCTGAGAGTAGTATGGCCAAGTATGGCATGACCAAAGAACTGGATGGCCATGTATGGCATGGACCCCAGAGCCTGATGGCCAGGTATGGCATGACCCGAGAGCTGGATTGCCATGTACGGCATGGATCCAACAGCTGGATGGCTAACAATGGCATGCAGCCAAGAACTGGGTGACCTATATCTTTTATTCACAAATGTAGATATCAAGGGTTTAACTTAGTGTTGTGCATTAAAATAAGGGATTAGGTTAAAGCCCATAAAAAGTTTGATTTAAAAAACAATATATTGTAGATACACTGAGAATACAGCAACATGGTAAATATCTTTTGTTTGAAATGGATTTTAATTCAGGATGGCTGCTGTTTGTGGGAAACAAGTGTTTTCTCTGAGTATGCAGGGGCATGTTCCCGTTTTTTATCCATCTGTACTGGGTCTTCATGCATTTGAAATTTTACACTGTAAAAAATATAATACAAGTCACTAATATAAAAAAATATATTTTATAATAATAGATGATGCCGTATACATGCCAAATGAGGAGGAAAGAATGGAATATGTCCTAAGTGACACTGGATACATCTATGTGGGCACAAGCTCTAAAATTACTGCCAGGCCATGGAATTTTGGACAGGTATGAATCCTTTTGTACAGTTGTGACCAAAATTATTCAACCCCCAATGCTGTAAAGGGGTTTAGGGACTATAGTGTACATTTGGAATTGTATTCAGAATCAAATCCTACAAGGACGTTGTAACTACCCAAATGCAACTAAAATGACATCAATTGTTTATGTAATACAGTAGTAAATGGTTCTTATGTGGTTTCTTCATTGCCACAATTATTCAACCCCTTAAAGACTACCACTCTGAAGAACAGAGGTTCATACAGGTGCTTTCCATCAGGTATTGAAAACACCTGTGGATGTCACCGAGCAGCAATCAAGCATAATAAGCACCAATTAGGCAGCTTTAAAATGACTGTGATACTCAGCTCCTTCTAGACATTTACTGGTGTGTTACAAACATGGTGAAGGCAAGAGAATGGTCCAGGAAGACAAGAGAAGAGGTGATTTCTCTTCACAGGAAGGGCAATGGCTATAAGAAGATTGCAAAGATGTTAAACATACCAAGAGACACCTTAGGAAGCATCATTCGCAAATTCAAGGCAAAGGGCACTGTTGAAACGCTACCTGGTCGTGGCAGAAAGAAGATGCTGACTTCGACTGCTGTGCGCTACCTGAAGCGTAGAGTGGAGAGAAGTCCCCGTGTGACTGCTGAGGAACTGAGAAAAGATTTGTCAGATGTGGGTACAGAAGTTTCAGCCCAGACAATAAGACGCACACTGCGTAATGAAGGCCTCCGTGCCAGAACTCCCAGGCGTACCCCCTTGCTGTCTCCAAAGAATAAGAAGAGTCGACTGCAGTATGCCAAAAGCCATGTGGACAAACCACAAAAGTTGTGGGATAGTGTTCTGTGGACTGATGAAACAAAATTAGAACTGTTTGGGCCCATGGATCAACGCTATGTTTGGAGGAGGAAGAACAAGGCCTATGATGAAAAGAACACCTTGCCTACTGTGAAGCATGGTGGAGGGTCAATCATGCTTTGGGGCTGTTTTGCTTCTGCAGGTACAGGGAAGCTTCAGCGTGTGCAAGGTACCATGAATTCTCTTCAGTACCAGGAGATATTGGATGGAACGTGATGCAGTCCGTCACACACCTGAGGCTTGGGAGACGTTGGACCTTTCAACAGGACAATGATCCCAAGCATACCTCCAAGTCCACTAGAGCATGGTTGCAGAGGAAAGGCTGGAACATTTTGGAGTGGCCATCGCAGTCACCAGAACCAAATCCGATTGAGAACCTCTGGTGGGACTTAAAGAAAGCAGTTGCAGTGCGCAAGCCTAAGAATGTGACTGAACTGGAGGCCTTTGCCCATGAAGAATGGGACGAAGATACCCGTAGATCGCTGCAAGACACTTGTGTCAAGCTATGCTTCACGTTTAAAAGCTGTTATAAAAAACTGTAAAAGGATGCTGTACTAAGTACTAAGATTGAATGTCACTTGGGGGGTTGAATAAAACTGATAATGCTGTGAGCACAGAAAAGACATTTGTGGTTATTTCATTATAACTGTTATGTTATATTTGTCTGACCTACAAGTGCCTCTTTAATGTAAATGTAGAGAAAGATGAATGAATGATCAAAAGCAATGTCAAACTGGCCAAAACACTCAATTTCAGTGGGGTTGAATAATTTTGGTCACAACTGTATATTGTAAAAATTAGCTTGAAATTAATAGAAGTGCCATCAGGTGACATTTGCACAATAAATTATTCATGCTTATGGCAAGGTCACATATATATTTTAATAAAATCTTATAATTAAAATATAACAAATGTCATAATATTGTAATGGGTCTATCATTAAAAAACTACTATTTCAACCTTGTAGAAAAAGTTGAGAAGTGCACTCCTAAATTCTTCATATTGTTTTGCTTCATGAAAGCCAAAATGAATGCATACATTCTGTCTGTGCCCAACATAACACACTCCCCAGATGCATTTCACCCCTAAGGGCTTGCTCACAGGGATTAGAGCATGTACAGGAAGTGGTAGGTCAGAGTTTTAAATATCCATCATTAGAGAGGCTGTGATTTTCAGCAACAGCTGAGCCACTCATATACATACTCAGTCTGGATTATCAATGGGCTATACAGAACAGAGTGTAAACCAAGATTATTTCAAATATAACAAAAAAGCAGCAAATATAACACACCAGCTTCTCAAGCAACGTGCAATCCTGAATTTTATTCACCTCATTGATGCATTTAAAGGTTTCAATCATGTCTACCCTTTCCATTCTTTCCTCCAGACTGTACATATTAAGTTCCTGAAGTCTCTCCTGATATATTTTTTTCTCTCTTTGTACAATTACATTTAGAAACACAGAACTGCAGCTTCCACTGCTTTTACCAGTCTTCCAGCAATGCCAAATCATGTTCCATGTTACAGACACCCCCAGGGATATCAACCTTATTACACACAGTTGTATCATCCTCAAACAGATTAAACAGAACAGGACCTAGTACAGAGAGCCTTGTGATAGGCCACTATTGACTCGTCTCTTCTCTAAATGAACCCCATTTACAACCACACTCTGGTGTCTGTCCATTAGCCAACTGCATATTCACTGAACCACCCAAGGGTTAAGTCCTAGCTTGTATAACTTTTTTATTACAGGGAAAGTAGGGACCACCTGCACAAAAAAAAAACAGGCATTCAGGAGACAGCCTCCTGAATGGAATGCCTGACAGCAGCTTCCTAACCACACCTTGAAAAGCAATCCACCATGGATAATTTTTCAGAGAATGAAGTGTGAACTTCACTTTAGGCTGTATTATAATAAGTTATGTCTTTCTTTATAAGGCAAAATTAGATACTTTAAATATTGAAGATAAAATTGGAACTGCGTCCACAATATTAAAATGAGATTAATGGTTAATAGAATGTCTCATAGTTTTCTTCTTTATTTCTAGCATGAAGCTGATGTACTGGACTGTTGCATGTATCTTCTTGATCAAAGTGATCTCAAAGCTTCAGCAAAAAAGGATCCGATCATTCTTTCCAGAAAGTTCTCTGCTTTAGTAAGTTTTATGCCAAATATGATAGATCACATAACTCCATCTACAGCAGGGGTTTGGAGCAGGGGTCTCCAAACTTTCTAAGCAAAGGGTCAGTTTACTGTCCTTCTGGCTTTACGTGGGCCAGGCTGTGGCCAGTAGGAGTAAAAATGCCCTGGCATCAGTGCCCTATCCTTGATTTCAATGGGAGAAATAGTGCCCCATAATTGGTATTAACAGGAAGAATTGGGCCCTATTGATGATGTCAGTCAGGGGAACGGTGCTGCATCATTAATGTCAGCTGGCAGAATAGTGCCCCAAGGGCTAGATAAAGGCAAATAAGGGCCACATTCTGCCTCTGGGCCGCAGTTTGGGGACCACTGTACTAAAGTCTTGAACCTATTGTACCTCTGATTTCACAGTCCTATAATCAAACTTTTTATCATGGGGGAAACGCCTATAATAATATTCAGCTCTCCTGGGCCCCTGCTACAAAATTGTTTTACCTACAGCTCATAATTCCTAAGTGTGGTCAGAAAGTTGGAGCTATAAAAATAAACACAAGTAAAAGGAATATGGCTTTTTTTAGCCTATTTGATACCCAGAGCAGATAATTTTTGGACACCAACTTGGTCTTTTTTTCTGTAATAATCATACAGTTCGATTGTGAGTTCCGCCACAAATGTGCAAATTCTGTGATGGCTCGTGATTAGAGCCTACAGAGCACTTAAGACTCTGCCTCTGTCCCATGTGACAGAACTTAAAATGGAACTTCACCCTAAAGGTGAAGTTTTGCTTTATGTCCCCCTCCCCACGACATTTGGCACAATACATTTTTTTGGGGGCAGTGGGTAGCTAGTTTTGATAGGCACCCGCTCACACTTCTGCACAGATCGATTAGGTGATCCAAGTGGAAGTTCTCCACTCTCTTTTCCGGCAGCCTTCTGGAACACGTAACAGATCACAGAAGGTTGTGGAAAAAAAGAACAAATAAGAGGGGGCAAACGCCTAGTGCATTACCAGCGATCTATTGAGCACACACAAAAAAAGACTGATGCCAAATGAATACTCACAAAAATGGAGAATAAAATCACAATAAAATCACAAGATGCCACAGCATTTGGGAATCATGTAACGACATGCAACCTGTCAGAGCTGGTGGACTGACGCGTTTTGGGAACTATGCTCAGAAGGCTGTGGGACAATTTACAAAGCATAGCACGTGTTACATATGCACAGTGGGAAGCCAGCTGTGAAGCCCTATGGCGTCACAGCAGGCTTCCCTTAGTAAACGGGCCACCCAAGGGTTAAGTCCTAGAATACAGCTCAGTCACCACAACATTCAATTAGAACTCTTACCTTAATGGATCTCACTACAGTAACCTAACTTCTGTTGAGAGTGCACTACCTTCATTGGTGCTGATTGGCTTGCCTTATTGCATACGATTGCCATTAATCTTTACACTGCCTTATAGGATGAAATTGATTATTTATTTTAAATCCCATTAGTAATAAGAAATATAATTTCTCCAAAGGTGAATTCCAATGATGATAATGGACTCCTGACAGGTAATTGGTCAGGGAGCTATGCAGCAGGTGTTTCCCCCACTGCCTGGACAGGAAGTAGCGCCATCTTACAGCAGTACTATAAAACCAAAAGGCCTGTTAAGTTTGGACAATGCTGGGTATTTTCCGGAGTTTTAACAACAGGTGAGTAATAAACACAATCTTTCCAATTTTAAATATTTTTTGGAGGCCTTTTTGGTCCAAAAGGTTTTAATATCAATTTGCATAGTTAAAGTGTCAGTGCCCCCAAAAGTGATATTTAAGTTATAGCTGGAATCTGGTGGACTGAGTCACCTTCTGAATTCTTTTTTTTTTTCTGAATACTTCAACAGTCAAATCTAATTGCTAACTCTGTCCTTGTTTATCTGAGGGTTTGGGTTGTTCCTGCTTACCTTTGTTTGTTCTGACTCCTTCTAAGGCATGC